ACTGTCTTACCCACAGAAAGAAACTTTGATGCTAATTCCGAACCAGAATGCTCTTCTGGAAGACTTGGATGCACTTCATAATTCATCTCACATGAAGAACATGGCAGCATTCATCGAAGAAGCCTATAAGAAACTAAATGCCCCTTAGAGAATATTTAATATTGTTTCCTATTAATTTAATGTTTATAAATTTGTAAAACTGTTAACCTATGATATATAGAGGCTGAAGCTTCTGCAGGATTTATTATCCTCTAATATGCACTTTAAAATTTGATTGTGTGAGCCTATCATTGGTGTCTAACATAGTCCCGAAAACTGGGTTTTTAGCAGTTGTACTGCAGTTATTTGCCTAAAACATAGAACAGAAATAGCCCTAGTCTGATGGTTTCTGCTGGCTAAGTGGGGCTCACCTGTTAGTTGGCACAGAGGGGCTAAGTGTCTGCCATCACTTATCCTTAGCTAAGAACTTGCATTTTCTGTCTGGCTACGGGGAACTGTAAAAATCCCCAAGAGCCTCTATCCTAACCTGGCTCCCTAATCTTATTAGTGAAGATTCTCTCAGTACCTCCAACTTTGAAGGTAGCATTAAGTTTTCATTTCTTTTGTTTTAAATATTTATTTTTTATTGTCATTAAAGTATATTCTTAAGAAAATTACTAAAAAGGAATCTAAGCACATTTATTCCTTTAAAACAAAACCAACCAAAAAACTATTTTGAGAAAAACCAGTGCACAAGAACCAGCCACCAAAGCTACACGTTCCTGAGAAACCAAAAAAGGCAGACATTTAGGATTACTAAAATGCAGGGCACTAGACACAGGAGTGTTTCAGATAGCAGCAGAACAGGCAGATTCTTGCACCCCAGATTTCAGCGGCAAGAAGAAGGGGGATTATGTACTAAGCCAGACAAAGGTGGCCCATAGCTAAGTGGGATGTATGATAGCTTTTATATATAAGCAAATTATTACTTAAATATGTCAAAAATCATTTCTTAGCAAGTTTTTGTAAAATAAAATAATTGCAGTGTATTTTTGTGTCTAACCTATACTTTTTTTGTCAGTTTATTTAGAAGTTACTGGGTCACACATGGCACATACCTGTAAATCCCAGCACTGTGTTGTAACCCAAAAATGAGACAACTGGGAGACAAGTCCAAAAAGAAAAGAGCGCTTTATTTTAGCTGGTACCCAGCGGCAACACCCGGCACAAAGTGCCTAAGTGTGTGCCGAGGCAGAGAGTCAGCAGGTATTTAAGCTCTAAAACCGCAAGGGGAGTTCCTGTGACTTGAGCGCAAGGGAATGCAGCACAGGGGTCAGTGTCCACTTTCAGGAAACAGGTCCAACCTGTTACAATTTTCAGGAGCAAATAATTACAATTTATGGTTCAGTGTTGATCACGGGACATATTGTGTGGAATGCTCTGGGGTAAGAAATAGTTCAGATGTTAACCTTTTAACACACTGTGGTTTAGAACAAAGGAATAGTTTGAACATTAACAAACTGTTCAGAGGTCTGATGGATAGCTTGAGCCACCAAGATGGAGTTTAAGTTGTCAGCTTGTACCAAACAGTCCTCATTAATAAAGTTACAGTGGAAACGTACAGAGGTGTATAATACAATGGCTATTCTGGTTACAAAATGGAGTCAGTCACATAGGTTATAACAGAAACATATGGAGTTGTATAACAAAACAGCTGTTCTAGTTACAAAAATGGAGATGGTTACATAGGTTATAACACACTGGAGGCTAAGGCAGAAAGATCACCAAGATTTCAAAGCCAGGGCCAGAGAGATAGCCTGGCAAGTGTAGGGTCCTGAGTGCAATCCCCAGTATTGCAAAACAAAACAACAAAAAGATTTCAAAGCTAGCCTGGGTACATAAGAGAGAGACCTTGTCTCAGAGAAAAAAAAAAAAAAAAGTTGCCGTAATTCTGTTAATGTTCTCCAGGCAGAGACCAATATGAACACACTGTTAGAATTTGTGTATAGGTGTCCCTCCAAAGCCCCATGTAGTCATGGGGTGGCTTCTGGAGTTGAGGATTGATTACTGTGGGTGTGGATGCTGCACCTGCCCTGGGGCAGGTAATTTGCATTACAATGTAAAATGGGAAGAAGTGCGCTGCTGCTACTCCTCCCTTTTGTGTTTCTGCTCTTTGCCGCTGCCATGAAAGGTAGTTCTCTGCCATGTGCCGCTCTGCCTTGGAGCCAGTTGAATATGGACTGAAACCTCCAGTAACTGTGAGCTAAATAAACCTTTCCTTCCTTTATTTTAGGTGTCGGGTATTAGTCACAGCAGTGAGAGAAAAGTGAGATGCACACCTATAGTTAAAAGTGGGTTTATGTTTATTGTAATAAGGAAAACAGCATATACTGAGGATCCTGAACAGCTCAGTAAAAGCATCAAAAACAGTATCCTCTTAGGAAGTAATGGTCAGAAAGACCATTAACAGGTATTAAAGGGAAAGAGACTTTGGGGAAGAAACTATGGCAGAATAAACAGATTCTTCAAAATATCTTTAAAAACTTCAGTGGAAATTTAAAGTCTTACGCTTTTAGAATGACTAATAAAGCCTGTATAGTTAAATGATTGTGTCAATTTAAGTCAGAATCACCCAACTAAATTGGATCAGCATAGTTCTAGGTGTGGCTGAAGGGATTTTTTTAAGATTTGCTGGGATTTACTAGGTGTGACTGACAGCAACCTGTGAACAGGCTTGCTACCTGAATGGCATAAAAGGAGACGCAGAAGGGTTTGCTTGTTTCTTGGAGGAGCTCCAGTCTTCACCTTGGGATACAGGGAACCTCCAGGTGACACAGGGAGAAAAACTGATCTCCCAGCCTAAAGTGTACCTGGGATGAGTTCGTGTTCACTAAAACCAAAGAATTAATTTTAGGAACAAACGGAGGTTATGAGCAGAATATATTTATTGGGGAAAGGAAAGTTGTGAGAAAGGGACCTGGGATGGGGAGACATGAGCGGGTTGGCCCCAGGAAGCTGTTTCTTCCAGGGACCTTTATAGAGGAAAACCATGCAGTGAGGTGGGTCTAAGGTGGTAGAGAAGATATAGGAACTTGCTTAGGTGGGCATGAGGTGGGACAAAACTATGGTCAACCAGTGACATGACAAGCACCACTGCTCAGATAAAATTAATATTGAGTCCAATACCAAATGGGGAAGGGAATCACATAACAAGTGGGCATGAATATGGGACAGGGTCTCTTCCTGTTAGGGGTTGGGCTAGTGACTCATTTGGGCTCTTTCAGGGTGATTGATACCTGTTTAGAATATCAATCCCTGATGCCCATCCCTAGGGAAGTAATGTAGCTGTGTTTCCTCTTTTGTCTTGGTCTTGAGGTGTGGCCCATATGGGAGTGTCTTGTCTCTTCCAAGTTGCAAAGTCACCTTGTCTTCCATCTTGTCTCCTTGAGGGCCTGACTCTCTCTGACTCCCTATAATATTTCTATCTAAGCTGCTTACAACACTTGAACAGTGTCACCTGGCTTCCAGCAGTCTCTTCAGCCTCCTGACAGACTTGCACTGTGCATGACATTGAGCTGTAGGGTTTTTACTGGATCCTTTGGCTGTTCAATGCACAGAGCGCCCCTTCACACTTTCCACACCTGATTGGGTAGCCACTGGAAATCAATCAAAACTTTCTGTAGTAAACACTGACTGGTATAGTATGCTCTGTTGGTGATTTTTAACATTAATCATGACACCACTGTTGCTGAGGGGAGGAGTTAAATATGTACTATTTCTCAACATCTGTAACATTATTCAGAGTGAATGAGAATTACAGCATTATTGCTGATAGTTGTCCATCATGCATGAACTAGTCATACTTGCACAAATCAAAAAGTATCTACATCAACTTTGAAAGATATGTGACATTTCTAACAGGTAGTAACAATCCCAAATATACACAATATTTTCTTTATAAAGACTTCATTTTTATTATATGCAGTTTATAAAAGTTAATTACAGGGCCAGCCAGATAGTTCAGCAGACTAAAGCGCAGGGATGGGATGGAGGTTGTTACCCAATCCCCAGCCTGCCTTGCTGGTCCCATCCTGGGGGCACCCTGAGGCCAAGATTGAGACTGGGCTTGGTGGTGTGCGCCTGTAATCCCAGCACTTGGGAGGCTGAAAACAGGAGGATCACTACGAGTCTGAACTACGTAGTGAAACCCTGTAGACCCTGTACTAAATACAAAAAGAGTTAATTACAGGTCCAGATAAAGTTCAACTGTCTCAATTATAGTAGCAGCTCTAATCTGTAGAATCCTTAGTCACTGTTCCCCCATACTGGTCAAGCCAATTTTGATACAGCCCTTTATTAGTGACCAGGTGTCCAGGCTAGAAATGTGAAATTCTCTCCCCACCCACCTTTTAAAATGTATTTATTTGAGACAAGGTCTTACTATGCAATTCAGACTCATAGTGATCCTCTTGTCTCATCCTCCTTTAGTGCAGGGATAACTGGTCTGTACCACCCTGCTCAGTTTTGGAGCTGGCATGGCACCACCCTGGGGTTCTGTGGCCAGCTTAGTATGCAGTACCAGGGATTGAACTCAGGTCCCTGTGCTTGCCAGGCAGGTGCTTAGACCACTGAGCTATCTCCCCAGTCTTCAGAAATTTGAAATTCTAAAAGCATGTTTTGGTGTAAAGGATATATAAAAATATAATGTATGACAAAGGTAGTATTCCATATGAAACACAGAAAAATACATATGCTTCCATAAATAGTCTTGAAAAGACTGGTTAATTTCACTATCAAGGAAAGAAAATAGTTAATATTTCTACTTTGTGCCCAAATAGATTTTATGTAGAAAGTAGAGACTAAAGGAAATTATAAACAAACTTGAGGGTTGGGAAGATAGCGAGGCGGTCCAGGCACCTGCCTGGCAAGCCCAAGGACCAGAGTTCGATTCCTAGGGCCACATGCCATGCCGGCCTAGGAACCCACCTTGCTGGCCCTGAAATAAGGTGTTACGGCAAATGCCTGTAATCCCAGTGCTGGGGATGCTGAGGCAGGAGGATCACTATGAATCTGAGCTGCTTAGGGAGACTCTAGCAAATAATTTTTAAAAACCCAGTTGACAGATCTCGGTGTACTAAAACAGCTATATTTTAAGCAAAACTATAAAAAGATTATTATATACAAGTGAATGTTTTGAAACTTTTAAATGAACAAGTCAAAAAAATAGTGGAAAATATATACATATAAAACTACAACTAAAAAAACTACTAATAAAGAGTTCTAAAATATCACGGTTTATCTGATAAAAAGTGCATAAATAGACAATGGGCATCTGAAAGCTGCTCAACCTTATAATTGCTTAAATGCAAATTAAAATGTTTTTACCTATGTGATTGGCAAAGATTTTTTTAAAAACTAAAGAGAAAATTGCTGAACATACTAGAATATGGGCACCCAGTAAATCTGCTGAAGGAACGTAATTTGGTACAACATTTTTGAGAGACTGATTGTATAGGTAGGTTGCAGACCTTGGAGTAACGCCATTTATAATTTTTTAAATCTGAAGCCTTCCATTGTCCTCTCACTTGGCCTATCTTTAACAAATAGGCTTTGTTAATGTGGGACACCTGCACTGCAACCTAAAATTAAGGGATTTACTTTCTTTTATTTGGCCTGATAGAATTTCCTAGCATTCTATGTTTACCAAAAACATGCCTTTGTTGCACCTGTCAAAATTAGTATTCCAATTGTTTGTGGATTACTACCTAAGCACCTACCTAAATCCTCTCATATTTCATTCATTGTTAAGAAATATTCAGCTCTGAGAAAAAGAAAGCAAAAGCAGCGAGAAACTCCTATTTCTCCATTGTGTTTAGCATCTCTAAAATGACCCCATTTTTTGTGTTCTATTTTATCTTAAAAATTGCTGTTATCATATATATATATATATATATATATATATATTTCTTCACTACTAAATCACCATAGACAACACTTTGTTGACTTGAATGTTTGGTCTCAATAAAGTGGCCTCTGTTTGTTACAGGCCCATAGATTTGCTGTACTAAAGATACCAAAGATTGATTAACATGTTAAACTTGGATAAAGAGAAAGCTGAAGACATTTTCCAGATTCAATGAAAGCATTGTAAAGCACAACTTTAAATGAAGTTACTCATTTTCATACTAACAGAGACAAATTTATCTTCGCCATCTGCACCCTGTTGCCACTCCTTAGCAAATCCTTAAGATTAATGCAAGCGTTCAAATGGGGCAAGAGAGCTGGGTGGCAATAATAACAGTGATACAAATGGCTGCCATTGATTGTGTGCTTGCTTTATGCCGGGCACTGCTGTAAGCCCGTCACATGCACTCATGTGTTTATACTGGCACTTAGCCTTAACCACAGCCCCATGGGGACTAACCTAATAATCATCAGCTCACATCCAGCAGCTGAAGCAGCTTAGGCACCGTTTCTTACCTGAGTTAAGATCACACAAATAAGAAGTGATGGAACAAGGAAGTGAAAAAAATAATTGACTGATTTCTTAGGAATTTTCTGCTAAGCTACAAATAGAAGAAGCTGCTGAATTTAATGAACAAATATTGTTTTGATGAACTACACATCCATGTATTTTTCTGGATATAAGGATACTGTATGTTAGGCATTTGTTCACTTGAGTTTACAGAACAGCACCCCTTTAAATTTGTCTGACATTGACAACCATTGTAGTACCCCCTCGCTTTAGGTTTCCTTTTGATTTCAGAGTTGTAAATTCATTTTTGCCTGGGAGATACATCTCAAGTTTAACTACTTTCAACCAACGCAGTTTTCCTGGGAAAGTAGGTTTTGCCTTTTGGTTATTTTTTCCTCAGGTAAAAAGCAACCATCTCAATAGTTCTGATGCTTTGTGGAAAGCAAAGAACTTTGAAAATGAGTAGAGGTTTGTTTTGTATGCACTTGAAAATAAGGTGTGACCTAAAGTTTGGGAGATGACTGGCCAGATAGCTCAGCGAATTAAAGCGCCTGCTCAATTCGCAAACACAGGGGTAGGGGGTTTGGTCCCCAGCCTGCCGGGCTGTCCCTGCATCCGGGCGCGAAGAGATGGCAGTTAAGACTGGGCGTGGTGGTGTGTGCCTGTAATCCCAGGGCTTGGCAGGCCGAACACACACAAATCGCTACGAGTCCAATCTACGTAGCGAGTCCAATCTACGTAGCGAGACCCTGTAAACCCTGAAGACCCTGTCCTAAATACATTTTAAAAAAGAACGAAAGAAAACTCCCTTTAAATTTGTAGAGATTTTAACCTTTCTGACTCCATAAATAACCTGAACCTTGATTTTTTTTCAAATTCTCCCTGAAATACTGTACTTAATCTCTAAAAGAGCTTATTACTCTTCATATTGTTATCTTGAAAGTAGTTGCTCAAACTGAATCCATAGGGCTGCAAACGGTATATGTTGCCCTTTGTAACATCTTTTTTTAAAAAATGTGTCAATATATCAGGATGAAAAACACTTATATTGACATATCACAGTTGACATCAAAAATAATTTTACCAGTCACCTTCAACCTTCAACTGCCAGTTGTATTACTTATCCTGAGTCTTCTATTAAAGAAATTCCTCCGCATTTTACAAAAGATAAAGATGGTAAACAGCACCCTCCCGTGAGCTCACATCAAAAATGAAGCACTCTCTATGCCGTGAAGAGGTCTGTAGGGCTTAGTACCCCAAGACTCAGGGGTTGTGCTGTGCTGAGACGCCCGCGTAAATACTTACATGGTGAAGCTGCAGACATTTGAGGGAAAACAACTGGTGGAAGACTAGCATAAAGGAATGAATATTCTTAAAATTACTCTCCATTCCCCAAGCATGCTTTTTAGAGCCCTGAAAGTTCAGGGCAGCAAAATCAGTTTTCTTCAGAATAGGTCAGAAATACCCATGAGATCGGTAGTTCTATAGCATTTTCTTATTGGGTCCTGTTGGCCGGAATCCCCCATCTCTTTTGTATTCCCTTGCGTGGTACCCTGCTGATTAGGTAGGTTTTATGTCGGCTACATGTCCGTCTCCAAATCAGAGTTGCTATTTATTGGCTTTTACACCGTAAGACTAAATGGTATAGAAAAGAAAAGATGAAATGAAAAAGCCCGTGCTGTATTTCTGGTGACTTTCACCTTAGGGAAATCATAAGCTCCTCCCCTTTTACGGTCAGGCCACTTTTCTCCCTCTTTCCACTGCAGGCTAATTAGGGAGGTGCCTAGAAGTATAAATTTACTATTTACACAGAAGGAGCTACTACACTGGTCAACAGCTAGACGGTCTCAGCTTCAGGCTGAGCTCACAACAACAGGTAAGTGTTGTTCATGACAATGATAATGAACTCCAAATCGTCAGTTTGTAATTTTATTAATATATATTTCTTTCATAGAAAATAGCAAAGAGATGAAATTCATCTGATATGAAAAGCATAAATCATAATTAGGTTTAGAGAAAAGGATATGTTTTTGTTTTATTGATGTATTTTTTATTTCTTTTTAATTTTTTTGCTACGAAGAACATAAATCAATTCCATTCTCTTACGGGTACAAATAGAGCAACAAAAAAAAAGAAATTCATCTCTAAACAAAAGCTGTCTGTATACAAAAAATAACTAGCATTGGATTTCAAGTGCTTAAAAAAAAAGAACTCTTCTTTCTTCAATAAAAAATGTCCACCATTGTATTATTATGCTATAAAAACAGATCTTATGTTTTGTTTATAAAAACCAAGTTTCAGGCCAGAGAGATAGCTCAGCAGCATAAGCACCTGCCTGGCAAGCATTAGGTCCTTGGTTTGACCCTCCATACCAAAAAACAGAATTAAGTTTCTCAAGAGAGACACATGCTGTCATTGCATGATTAAAATACTAATAAAATATTTTAAGTTTACTGATGAACTCTCAGATGTTCCAGAGAAATTTAATGAGTCCGATTATTTTCCTTGACGAGACTTTCAGTTTGTGAGTCTGTTGGTGATAATTTGGTTAAAGGAGTTACAAGCCTTTACCTCTGTATTCTAGAACATACACCATGTAAGGGGAACTTGTAATTGAGGATATGACATTTTGATTGATCTTGTTTCTTTCAGAGTTACTAGTTGTTCTTCTGACCTTTTGAATAATTGAAAAATATTTCTACATTCTGTTTTGTGGCATTTAATAAAGCAAATCTTTGTAATGAAAGGTATCTATGAAATTCCACTGTTTACTGTGATTCTTAAATACTATCTGTAAGTTACATCAAGTTACAGTGTTCTCTCAGATTCTGAGTTTAATTTGTCACCCTGAATACTTTGTGATTTGTAAGAACTTAAGTCTAGAAAAATAGATTGACACTTGATCAAGGAGGATTTGAAAATAAGAAAGCTTCAGAGAGTTCATTAATGAAAAAGCAAGCAAATGCTAGGAAAAAAAACATGTAAGAGTAATGATATAGTACATTATATAATGAAATTAATCAGAGTTGGTCCTATCTGTTAGCTACTAGAAAATTTCCAAGTATAGGTTCTCACTTCCTGCAAATACAGCCTGTTCTCATGATTTATGTAGCCACAGTATAATGAAAAAGCGAGAAAATGTTAGGGAAAAAAACATAAGATATGATAATAGTAAAAATAATAAAGTTTGTTTTGAAGGTGCTAAATGGGACATTTGCTTACAGCATGAGTGCTGAAACAAGAAAGCGAGTGTGACACACCCTGCTAAGCCTTAGCTGGAATTGTACTTGTGGACGAAGTATTGTACTATTTGGTGCTTTCTGTAAACAACTGCCAGACTGCAGTGTTGTATTGATTTGTGGGTCACAAGTTAATTTTAATAATGAAATTTTGAAATATGGTATCTATGAGTAAGGAAGATCAAAGAGTATTCCATACACTTTGGAGGCTCACTTCACTCTTAATTCTCTATTCTTTCTCTTTTTCCTTTTGTCTAAATTTTTAATTTAAACTGAAATTTTCTTTATATTTCATCTATTTTAAAATGGTTTTATATCTTTTTAAAGAGCAAACCAGATAATATGTCAGCAAATAATTGAAAAATGCTTGTCACTTCTACCATGCATGAACTCTTGCTAAATATTAGGGAGCGTAACATTTCCAAACATTGAAACTTCTTAGGAAATTCGTGATCAACTGCCCTTTGAAATCATTTCATTCTCCATCAACAGATACTGTTAATGTCTTTATATAAATATCTATTCAAAGATTAGAATTTTGAGAAATGACATGTACATAAAAACTCAAGCAGATACAAGGATAAAAGGATGGTGGCTACATTTCTTTCTTTCTCATCCTAAAAGTTGGAACCTGACTGATTTCCAAATCTGTAATAGTAGCCCAGCCACTTAGTATCTGAATACAAGTCTTTGGATTTTCTGGTGCTGCCCTGGCTGTTGCTATCTTA